TGACATTTGAGACAAATATCTCTATATAATTTCCTATATAAAATCCAAAACATTATTTAACAATAAAGGAAGAACCAAAATAAAAACCTTAATTAAAGCTATAATGATTTTTTTTTTATAATTATAACTAGATAATTGCATGTGCGGATATGAGTTATTTTAGAGAGTAAATGTACTTTAGTACAATACTTAATAACACAAATTTAAATGTTTGTGGTTCCAAAATACAAAACCATTTCATGGATATCCTCGTGAAAGAAATAGTTGTGAGAAATATTAATCAAAACCACTTCTTCTCATAATTTTTCTACTCTTTGAAATATGTTTGCATGTACTCTAATCGACAGTTTTTGGCAAAGACAATCAATATGTAAAATTTGAGTTGTACAAAAATTGTTGGAAGCGGCTCTTGACATGAAAACTAATCTTTTGAATACCATTGTATATGATCCTAAGTAAAACCAATGACGAAAAATATTGATCAATTAATTTTCTTTCACATTTTTTCTTTTTATATGTTTAATTTTTTAGTCCTGGATATTGATGTTGATCTCACTTGCTATGGTTTAGTTAGCCAAATTATTATACACAATTCATTTCTATTGATTCTAAAAACTTTCTTTCTTTTTAAACTTAATTCCTACTATTTTCTCGTGAAATATGAAATATCAAAATATTTGATATTTTATGTCAGCATTAATATAGTTGATATAAACTCGTAAAATCAACATAATGAAAGGAACAAAAAAAACAATTAACAAAATATCAATTTTAATAAATTAAAGTTTTTATTAGTTAAATTGGTTTAAGGGTCTGAGTTTTTTTAGTTTGTCAAAGAGTGTTGTACATTCATTTTTATTCGAATTGTCTCCTTGTATCAGAAGAAAACAAATTTGACAGCATAAATCTTTTAGACGTATCTCTCTTTTTTTGTTGAAAAATTTCAAAAAATGCCACTTTTCAAGTGCCACTTTACAAAAATATCACACTTTTGAAATCTTTATAAAAATGCCACACTTTTGAAATCTTTACAAAAATGCCACTTTTTCAAAA